TTTGGGTCTATGACTACTAATGTTCAACTCCATAGCCTTGTAATTTTGAATTCAATCCAGAAGACAAGGGAACTTCTGGATCAAATATTGGGAGAGATTTGCCTTCGTGGGGGACTTTTTGATCGAACTAACCCGCATTTGCGTTACACGGAGAGGAAAACCACGGAAAGAGCCCACGGTTAGCCTGACAGCAAGGAGACTCTAACAAAAATTTCGCTTTTTCTGGCAAAAATCTTCCCGGATGTTTGTCTCAACATGAGCCTATTTTAAAACTTTTTAATGTATTGTACCAGAGCCGTGATGGCTCAGGGGATAGAGGGATCCGGGTGAACCGGGTTCGAATCACAGCGAGGGCTAGTCGATACAAATTTCACCCCCGACTCACACCGACCACAGTGCTGATGTAAAATATACTCAGAAATCGTGGGTTAGAGTTCCCTTGCCGCCAGACTAATGTGGTTTCGTGGGTGGACCGTGGGTGGTTTCGTGGTTTTCATCACCATATAACGCAAATGCGGATTACTTCCATTAAAATTCCACTAAGAAGACAAATTTCGCTCATTACTATCTCCAAAACTCTTCTTGTCTTCTGAATTGGGTTCAAAATTAAAAGGCTACGTAGTTGAACATTAGTAGTCGTAAACCCAAAAATTGGGTCGGCTTTGCAACGACGGTTATGAAATAAAATGTATTGTACCAGAGCCGTGAGGGCTTAGGGGATACAGCGTTCACCTTCCAATGGGTTCGAATACCAGCTGTGACTGGTCGATACGAATTTTTCATCTGGCTTCATCCGACTACAGTGCTGATGTGAAATACCCTCAGCGGTAGACGGATCATAGGTTAGAGCAGTGGTTCTTAACCTTTTAAAGCCGCGACCCAATTTTGAGAAATATGTTCATGTCGCGACCCAAAAAAAATCAAAGTTTTTTCATTGCTTTATTTTAGATCGTATTTTTAAAAAATCCTTAATCCTACGATGATGATTTTTTTTAACTTACAAATGTTTTATTTATTTTTTTTTAATAATAAAGATAAACAAAAGTACTTTTCGATCCAAGGAAAATTTAATTAATAATCAAGTGTTTTTAATAATTTTTATTGACCAAATTAAAATATATTTATAACTTTTTGAAAATAATTGACATTTTAACTTATTCCTTGACTTAAACAGCGCCACTTCTGTGGAACTATTTTTCTACCTCTTAGAGAGGGCCCTTATGTTAATTCTTTTTTACTTTCTTATTTTAAGCATTAACTACTAAGTATCTTTTATTCTTATATTAATTTTGCACCTTGATATGCTAAACTAATTTTGAGTCATGTGCCTTTTTTAATTATTATGAACGAGGATTAAGGGTATAGAATTACCCAGGTACCTCATTAAGCCTAGGCTGAGTAAGCCACAATGACTTCTTCTAGGAGGTGTTGGTATTACTTATTATTTGGTGTATTACTAACTTTTTTGACTCAGCGCGACGCAAGAAATATGCTTCGCGACCCAATTTTGGGTCGCGACCCATGGGTTAAGAACCGCTGAGTTAGTCAGTCGCCCTTGTCGTCAGGCTAGCAGTGGGAGGTTTTCGTGGTTTTACTCACCCTCTAACGCAAATGCTGGCAAAGTCCGTCAAAAATTCCTCTACAACCGCGAATTTCTCCCAGTGCTTGATCCAGGAGATCCCTTGTCTTATGGATTGGGATCAAAATTACAAGGCTACAGAGGTGAACATTAGAAGTCGTAAATCCCAAAAAATTGGGTCGGCTGTTCAACGACAGTTATTAAAATAAATTGTATTAAACCGTTCCGTCAATAGAAGCCTTTTTGTTGACTTTGTTACATTATTTTTCGCACAAACGTTGTATACATGTTATGACATGAAAAAATATTCGAAAATAGACTAGTCTTACTAAATAGTCAGATTTACTGTGGTTAAAATGAATGGATAGAATAGAATGTTGCCTTTCTTTCTCTCTAGATAAACGTGGTCAAAGTGGTCCACTACACGTCACGGAATTCGAAGGATCTTCACCCTTGGTGAAAGCATTCATGGAGGGTGTTCAAGGATTAGGCATACAGATTGGTGATTTGAACGGGGATATAGAAGACGGGGCTATGCTTTCCCAAAGTGAGTTAAGTGCTAAAACTGTTGATCATTACCTTCACATTAAATGTGCCGATGCAGTTTAGTAATTAAAGTGTGTAACCTCTAAATTAAAGTGTCAATACTTTTTCTAAGTTTCAATCCGGTGATCATTACTTCCATATTAACAGCTTCCTTTACCAATTTTTTTGAAGAAAAAAAAAAAAGAAAAAAATCAACATATTTTTTTTTATTTCATGAATAAATGCAAGGAACTAAAACAAAACATAACACACAAGTTCTAAGTTGAAATGCTAATTTTTTATGTGTAAAAAAATATTTAATTTACCATCAGTTTACAATACCATTCAGATTGTTAATCCATTATGTAATCATCATCGTCAGTAGAAATTCATTCAGCAAAATATTTTGCCTCTTTAAAATTTTATCGCGACCTGCAAGTATCCAATGACATTTTTGTGGCGAAATTACTCTTGTGAAACTCGTCTCATACAATTAGAAATTTTTTTTAATTACATTAAAAGAAAAGAAATTTTCTCAATTGTTTTAATTTAGATAGTTTAGGCAGGGATAGCCTGGTTGGTAGGGCACTGGGCGTAGGTCCTTGGTTCGATCCCCGTCGGCTGAAGTATCCCCGTGTAGTAAATAGTGACTGATGCACGTTAAATCTGTCGAGTCTCAAAGTCCTCCATGTTCCCATAACAAATCAATACCTCTGGAGGTACTGATCCAGGAGTTTCCTAGTCTTCTGTATTGGACTTGTAATTTTGAACCAATCCAGAAGACTAGGAAACTCCAGAAGACTTGGAGTTTCCTAGTCTTCTGAATTGGTTCAAAATTACAAGGCTTCGGAGTTGAACATTAGTAGTCGTAAACCCAAAANAAAAATTAGTTATAAACCTATTCTCATACCTACTGAATATACATATAAAATTTCATCAAAATCGATCCAGCCGTTTAGGAGGAGTTTAACCACTAAAACTGTGACAAGAGATTTTTATATATATAGATATATATATGTAATACAGGCAGTTCTGTCAAATATTTCCAAAAAAGTTGTTTATTGCACGATCTGTAATACTTATTTGTTATGCTCTGAATAGTGGTAGCATAGGCACCAAATTAGCATTTCTAATGTTATCGAAACTACGTGTTTATTTCGTTTATTGTTATGCTTTTAAAACGTGTTACTATAAAACTAAAGAATTTAAAATCAACGGCAATTGGGTACTTGCATTTCAAGAAGAAGAAGAAGAAGATACCCACACTAGTGACCAATGGCGTCATGGCCAGCTGATCGTTTATAGGCAAAAAGGCTTGTTAAAGTTGAACTAAGTTTCTCCATATAAATTAGAATGTTAATTAACGTGAAGTTAATTAAATATAGAGCTGTATCACACATCCAATTAGTTGAAATATAATTCTTCCTCGTCTACCTCTTTTACTGTACTTAGATTTATTATTTGTTCATGTATTTTATTGTAACCGATTTTTGTTTTGTGTACCTGGCAACTGCGAAGCATAATTAGTTTATGTTCTATATGGATTCATGCCTATCTTTGAGTTGAATAGGAAATATATAGTGTAAGAATAGAGAATCTTTCTGATGGAATATAGAATGTGTCAAAGAGAATTGATACTTGGCGGGCTTGACTTACCCGAAATAGAATAGCAAGAACAGTTGCTAACATAAACAGATGCCACGTTTCGACAGCCAATCACTTGCAGATATCTAATTGAAATAAAATAAAAAAAGTTTTGTTCTAAATAGCAAAACTAATGGAGAAATGTCATTAAATCTTTATGAAAGCGTAAAAAATCTGTTATTGACGTCAATGAGGCTTAATTAATTTTGGTTATATCTACTAATTCAAATAAAAATAACCTAAGAACCAAGATACAAAATTATCATGGGGAAGCGTAAAAAGGTACCATATTACTATTGACACCAATGATGCTTAATTTTGGTTGTAGGCACTATTGCCATCACTGTAATTGGTGCAGTTTTAATAGGTATAAAGTGTTTATGTTAAATTGGATGCCGATTACACCTGCAGCCATACTGTAAATTTTTATGTACAAGTATTGAGTCAAACAAAACTATTTAAGAAATTTATTACAGGTAATATTTGGCGTGGTTGGCGAGTCTCCTCTTATGATGCTTATTTAAGGCCTGTCATTTCCTCGTCGAATATTCGTCTTCTGACGAATACTTTGATTATAAAGGTAATTCAAATTTATATTCGGTCCTTAAATGTTGTCTAAAAGGAATGAGAATTACACTTTTAACAAATAGTAAAGAGAAACTTAGATGCATGTACTTAATGTTTTGGTATACTTTGCGTGTAATACAGTTTTTCATGTGACTCCACAAAAACGCGTTGTAATGCGAATCTCAGTTATAATAAGTGAATCAATTACAATTCAATTAATCAGCGACCTCAAGTTGTTTTAAGTAAGTTACTAGCGAGAACACGGAGTTAAATTGCGGACTGTTATGAGAGAGAGTGTTTGGGACTAATGCGAGTATGCTGGACTAATATGTGGACTAAGTCTTGAAGTTATCGTGAGATGGTATATGGATCTAATATTGAGACAATGTTTAGAAGTAATGTAAAATAGCATTTGGTACTAACATGAGAGTGCTTGTGGCCAATGTGAGATAGCATTTGGAACTACTAATATGGGACAGTGCTTACGACTAAGAGTATATGGATCTGATATTGAGACAGTGTTTAAGACTAATGGGACATAGTATATATGGAATTAATATGAGACAGAGTACTTGTGGCCAATGTGAAATAGCATTTGGAACTACTAATTTGGGACAGTGTTTACGACTAAGAGTATATGGTTCTAATATTGAGACAGGACTAATGGGACATAGTATATATGGAACTAATGTGAAACACTGTTTGGGACAAATACGAGATTGAGTAGGGGATTACACTTGCAGCAAGTTGCAATTTTAGGATTTCTTAATATACTGACTTGCTGAAAAAGGTATTGAAATTTTCGCCTGATATTCTTCATCATAACTGCGTTAAACGTTACGCATTTCAAGTAATAAAATAGTTTTTTTTTTAAATTAACGTTTCATATTTTTACAAAAATATCTTTTACTTTTCCGTTTACTACTCCATTCTTACCAATCTTTCAAATCTTTTATTAAAGTAAAGCATTTTCTTTGTTAAAATTGGTCGAGCATTTACTTTTTTTTTAGCTATGAATTAATATGATTTAATATTAGCTATGAATTAAACCTATGATTTAATATTTACGGTATTTTTGTTTATTGTTGTTGATTTAACGACCTAATTTAATAATTTTCGTTTTTGCTCGGACAACGAGGGTCATTATGTTAACTGTAATTATCACAATTTTCCTTTTTTGGAGTTTTTGCTTTGTTGTAGGTGGTTCTGGATGAGAGGAGAGCTGTAGCAGTTGTGGCCGTCAATACCATTTCGGGAGAGGTCTTCCATATCGAAGCAACGGAAGAAATAATACTGAGTGCAGGGGTCATAGGATCGCCGCTCATTCTGATGTGGTCAGGCATGGGGCCTCAGAAATATTTGGAAAAGCATAATGTAATGAGGTCTTTTTTTTCATTGTTATTTTACTGAAAGAGAGGGGATAGAGCGCTTGCCTTCCTTTCAGGTGAGTCGGGTTCAATCCCAGAGATATCTGCTCGATTTGAATTCCTCACCCGGCTCGCACCGACCACAGTGCTGACGTAAAATATCCTCAGTGGTAGACGGATCATGGGTGAGAGTCTCCTTGCCGTCAGGCTAACCGTGGTGGCTTTTCGTGGTTTTCCTCTCCGTGTAACGCAAATGCGGGTTAGTTCCATCAAAAAGTCCTCCACGAAGGCAAATTTCTCTCAATACTTGGTCCAGGAGTTCCCTTGTCTTTTGGATTGGGTTCAAAATAACAAGGCTACGGAGTTGAACATTAGTAGTCTTAAAGTTTCTAAGTAACGCTGTTTTCTGGATTTTGTATTTGATATGCTCCCTATTTGTTAAAGCTCTAATTGGAAAAATTTTGAATATGTTTGCTTATGTGATTGAACTGTTGCATGCACTTCGAACTATCGGAGTGTCCCCGGATGCCCGTTGCGGGGGCGAGGCTGGTATAAGCTAGTCATTAGTATTCTTAAACCCTTAATTGGGTCGGCTGTTCAACGACGGCTATTAAATAAAATATCGTAATATCTCAAAAATTGACAGCCGGAGAAAGTGGTAACTCCGATAGAACAAATGGATGCTCAATCATGAGGAGGAAAATTTTAACTTCCTTAAATATTCCGCATTGAACTGATTGTTAAGACACGGTTCCCAGCAAATCACCGAAGTCAAGCATCATTGACTGCTGTCAGTGTACGGGTGGGTGACCACTTGAATCAATCGATATTCGTCTTCGTTAAACTGTTCTAAAGTAAATTGCTCGATTTTGCTTGCAGGTCGTCGGAATACCAACGCTGGGGGTGCCCCCCCCCTTGCAGCGGATAAAAAATGTGATGGCATGTCTTCGTATCATCCCCAGGGATGTTTCCCTATGCCAATAGCCCATTGTGCAGCTCTAGTGTGGCGTAAATGAACTACCGTTACAGCAACTTAAATATTTACTGCAAAAGTGCATATTTTAATGAAAAGTTGCTTAAGTTAATTTATTAAGTGAACCGATATGCCAAAAAATCTTTATCTCGTCTATAGCTGGACAAGTATTTAATTCTGCAAATCTTATATGTAGCAATTATTGAAAGTTTTTGCATAAAATTGTTCTCTAACACATGATCCGCCGACCACTGAGGATATTTTACGTCAGCACTGCTGTCGGTGCAAGCCGGATGTGAAATTCGTATCGATCAGCTATCGCTCCAATTCAAACCCGGTTTACCTCATTGGAAGGCGAACACCCAATCCCCTGAGCCACCGTCGAAAGCTCCAACCCCACAGTGATTAGTAAGGATTATTCAATTCTAAAATTTGATGCTTATTTTCTATTCGAGCAGATCTCCATGATGTTTGATTTACCTGGTGTGGGACAGAATCTGATGGATCATTTGAATGTACCATTGTATTTCCACTTGGATTCTCCTGTCAGCACTACAACAGCTAAAGTTCGATCACTCAACAGCGTATGGAAATATCTCAAAGAGGGAAAAGGTGAATTTTAGTTTAATAACTCTGGTTTGATTCGAAGGAACATTATGTACTGGAATCACATGAACATTAGTTCGCAACTAAATTCCAAAATTTCTCCTTAAACTATTTATAGCCTACTTTTGCTCCACTCCTCTATCACATCCTTTGTTTCCTCAGTCTTTGCTTTCGTTAGAATCAGTTTTTAAATTAACCCTAGCAACAATTATACCTTAGCCCCAGTTGGGCTCAAAATTGATTCAATATGGGTCCAATATGAACATGCTAACCCTAACAACAATTATACCTTGGCTCCATCAGTTGGGCTCAAAATTGACTCAATATGGATCCAATAGGAACATGCTAACCCTAACAACAATTATACCTTGACTGCTGTTGGGCTCAAAATTGACTCAATATGGATCCAATATGAACATTCTAACCCTAACAACAATTATACCTTGGCCCCAGTTGGGCTTAAAATTGATTCAATATAGGTTCAATATGAACATGCTAACCCTCACAACAATTATACCTTGGCTCCAGTTGGGCTCAAAATTGACTCAATATGGGTCCAATATGAACATTCTAACCCTAACAACAATTATACCTTGGCCCCAGTTGGGCTTAAAATTGACTCAATATGGGTTCAATATGAACATGCTCCGATGGACCAATATTGGAATGTCTAGATTTTTTAATACTGGTCCTATGCAGTATCACTATCGGCCTATATAGGCTGAATATATTGTCTGAATAATGATCATAAAATATCTGGTGAATCTGACAATTCTATAATCGGCCGATATTGGTTGTAAAGTGGCAGTAAAGTATCGGGTAAATAGGACAATTCTATATAGGGCCCATATCAGAAAAATATCGGCCCTTTGAACCCTTATTGGGCCAAGATTCGTGAATGTTGGTCCAATGAGGGCCCAAGTTATTTTGCTGCTAGGGATTCTTTGACAATAAGTAGCCATTTTGTTTTACTAAAATTTTTCTTCTAAAAATAACTTTTCACCTTTTTAAGTTTAAGTTAAATTTTTTTCTCAATAAATCTAATTTAGTAATTACATTTAATTTCTTTTTTCGTCCAAATTGTTTAAATTTTTACATCTAATAAGCCACGGCATATTCAAGAAATGTTTTTCAACTAATTCTAACAATTTAAAACAAAAAAGAAAAATGTTCGTAATAAAAAAAAAAACACGATAATTCAAATTAGGCGTTCCTAGTTGATGAAAATTGTTTCATTTCAAAGGACTCGTTCCCATTTTAAGTGATGATTTCATAGTTGAAGAAACAAACCTTAAAACAGGAATAAAAATATGTTACTGCTCTAAAATACAAACTAGTCTGCCTTCAAAACATATTTAGAGTTAAAATTTATTCGTCACAACGTGATATTGTATTATAGAATATTCCTTTATTTTTTTTTTAGCAGAGTGGATTATTATTATTATTATTTTTTTTTTAGATTTTATTCTCATTTTCTTAAGATAAAGATTTCTTCAAGGTTAGATTAGAGAAAAACATCCGTGTATGGAATATATCACTTAGTGATATTCAGCTGATTTTCACTTGTCGCTAAGTGACGGTATCAATGGCCTCTTAAACGTTTCATCGAAAAGTAATTTATCGAGACTATTGAGATTGCATTACAAACAGTGTGGAGTTAAAAATCTGAATTATTTTTGATCTAATGATTCGATTCAATTCTAACTTTTTAATCTTAATGGTTCTAGGAACTAACCATAAAATATGCTAATTAATTAGTGCATGGTCATATTTTAAAGTTACAGAATCAGAAAATAAAACTTTTTTTTCTGAATTAAAAATGTCTCTTTATTCGACAGACTTTCAAATAGGGATAGAATGATAAAATAATCAAAGAACACGCAATTTAATAAACAATTCAACAACATATTCTGATTATTTAAACAATCCAACACCATTTTCCATTCTGTTCCGTACCACTTACAAAATTTTTATAACTGAATGTTAATTTTGCCGCCAATCTTCAAGGAGAACCATTCGACTGATTTTCATTCGAGTAATTTCAAATTTTGGATTTTATTATTTAAAGTTACATGCCAGAAATGGGCACAATTAAAAAAAATCAAACCATTTGTTAATTATATTGTAAAATATAATAAATAATTATAAAAAATAATCTTACATGGAACTATCTTTTTGAGGGGATATGTTTAATAATTGTGTGTATTGCTTCGTTTCACAAGTTCCAGAGATATGGCCGATATTACCCAAATTATTGTTCCTCTCCCCGACTGCCCCCCTTGATATTTTAAGGGTAAAAAATCAGAATTCATCAGTCAAAAGATATGTTTATTCAGAGTACATGAACCATCATTCAAGTATGTTTGGTTTCGTAATTTAAAATATTATCTGCCCTAATCAATTAGGTTAGAATCATTAAAATTGAACTCAAGTAAGTGAAAATCCGATCATTAGATTTAAAGCTATTAAGATGTTTATTTGCAGGCCCTCTGTCCAATGCCGGAGTGGAATCGATTGTGAGATTGTCGGGAGCATCTAAGAATGATTCCAAAATGTTGTTTATGTTCTTCAACCTCGGAAGCATTAATGAAAAAATATTTACAGCAGTGTCGAATTTCGACAAAAACGTAAGCTTTTCTTTATGCATCCAGTATAAATATAGGAACTCCACATTTCTTTCGATTACTGTATGCATCATTTTCAAAGCACGAGTTTTAAAAAGGAAAACAAACTTAAAATTTGTTCAATAAGTAATATAGGGGAGAGTCGGGTAGTCCCGCCCAGCAGGTACCCCTGCCCACTGTCAATTTCATTTGTATAGAATATTTTTTCAAGTCAATGGGCCATCGGACATTAATTGTTATATTAAAAAAAAGATTATTTTCAAAGTTTCAAGTATTTATGCAGCTGTTAACATGGTAAACAATAGTTTTGAAAATATGTTGAATACAGTAGTCATGAAATTAAGAAAAATTGGTTGAATGTTTCGATTAAACTTCATTTTAATACTAAAAAAATAATTTTTTCTATACATACAGCATTAAAGTATGTAGTCTTAAGTTTAATTTGCACAAAGAAAGAAGTTTGTATGTAAAAAATTGTTCGAGTAATTACAAATTTACAAAAAAATTGGATTTCGGGTAGCCCCGCTCACATGAATGTCGGGTATCACCGCCCAATTTTATTTCGTCGATAAATGTACGGTTGCAAAGATTATTATTTTATTGCTTCAAATTTGAATGTTATATGCATTTTTAACAACAAATATTGTTGTTATTAAATGATTGTTATTAAATGATAGAATTCACTAAAAGTATATAAATATGTAATAAATAAAATAATTTTGTGATAAAAATGATAAATGAGGTTTATCTATTGTCAATACATTGGTCATTTTCATTTACACCTGAAAAAACAGTCAAAAAACATAATTTTTGTAACTGGGCGGGGCTACCCGACACATTTTGAAAAGAGCTGAAAAACATGTTTTTTTAAATTTCTATTTTTTTAAGTTAAACTATTTTTTTTTTGGTTTATTCTTTTTGCATTATTTAATTAGATGACAAAACAATGGAAACATACAAAAGTTTTGATTATTACTCAATATTATACAGAAATATAAGCAATGCTCCTTAAGTGAGCGGAGCTACCCGACTCTCCCCTATATTGAAAAAAAAATTTAAGTCAATTCCAACATAGGTCAACAATGAAAATTTTTATTTTAGTTACTTTTTATCAAATAATTAAAAATTTTTCTCCCATATAAAGTTGAAATTAATTAATTGAATTGAATAAATGAATTAATATTTAGAAAAAAAAACTGTATTAACATCCAGTGTCATCCAGTACAAATTTAAAAAAATGTATTTGTACTTGAGTGTATGAATAAAAAGTATTTTATTAATGATTGAAAATTTGAACAAGATAATAGGGAGAATGTGAACTAATAGTAGGAATTGAATTTTAAAAAAAATGAAACAAAAATATCGATAAATAACGTTGTTGATGGAGCCGTCAGAAACGTAGTATAGGTTGGCATAAGATAATAATTTGCTTAATTTTTTTTATCAACAAAAGGCTTCTTAAAGATATCCACAATTCTAATTATAATAGTGGGTTAGCTTGCAAAGGGACTGAGGGTGTGCGGTATAGGCCCTCGTTAAACTGTTCTACCATAAAGTGCCCGCCTTTACTCGCCGGTCGACCGGCTACCGAAGCAGGGCAGCCATCACCTCTAAAGAGGATAAAAATTAAGATGGCATCCTCGGGGATGTTTCCAATACCGTCGCCAATAGCCTATTGTGCAGCTCTATTGTGGCGTAAAACCAACAACAATAACAGCAAACTACTTGAAGTAGACAGTCAGTGATATTTTATTATGAAAGCATAAGTGGCATACAGTGAATTTCTTAAGTAAAAAAAAGTGTTTATTTACGTAAATTACAGCAAAAACTCGATATAACGAGCACAGTATATTACGAGAAGTCCTCTATTACGACAAATTTTCAAGTCATGTACATTCATTTACGTAACATTCATTACGTATTACAGTACGTTCATTTTAATATTAAAAGTGCGAAAATTGTTTGCTATCGTTTTCTTTTTACAACTTTAACCCCTAATTATTATAAAGCAATGTGTGTGACGACCGCTGGCTAATTTAGCTTCTTCCTAACTGCAGCTTCGGCTCTCCACTATTTTTAGAAATCAAGCCGGGCATTGTAAAAGACGATCTCGCCTCCTTATTTCCTTTCTTGACTATTAAAATCAATGACATGCAATCCAATCTGTATTCGTGATATGCATTTTAAATTAAAATAGTAAAGTTCAAAGTAAAGTGAATTCAAGGAAGTTAAGTTCAAAGTAAATGTTTCATTTTGGTTAAATATTGTTATTGCTATTTTAAATAATAGTTTTGTGCTTATAATGACATCTGCTAATATTGTTAAAAAGAGCTTTTAATGTAGTTCCCGCTTTTATGTGCCATCTTGTATATTAATTAATTTGAAAAATATAGATGCTAAAATTGCGTATGTAAAGCATAACGGAACACCCCTGCATATCTTTTCTTTTCAGTATTTTGAGGAAACTTTTCCTGATACTAAGAATGACTCGAAAGAAGGATTCGTAATTCTGACTTCCTGCTCACAGCCAATCAGCAAAGGACACGTTTCACTTTCGTCATCCCATCCCCTGGATCCTCCAATCATTGAGCCAAATTATCTTCAACAATCAGAAGATGTGAAATGTCTTAAAAGAGGTATATAATCAACTCACTTTTCATTATATTTTAACCATGGATTAAGAACTATATCCAATTAAAGCACTAAAACAAAACAAAATAAATATTATGAATGCTCAATTAATAATAAACATACATTGTTTTTTGACCATGAAGTCTTGCTTGCGTCTTCTTTCTCAGTTTTCCACCTCTACATTTTTTGTACGCAAGACGAAGAGTTATAAGAATAAAAGTTTAAAAAAATTTTTTGTTACTACGCATTGTTTTTTAATCATTTTTGTATTTCTTTTCAAGGGTCATTTATTTAAATAATGAGTAATATAAGGGAGCAGTTGGGAAAAAAGAGTTAAAATTGTTTGCAGTATGGATATAGTGAACTCCCAGTGAACCGAAATATCAGTCCCTTGGAGGTGCACTATTTCGGGGTTTGGCTGTATTTTCTTCTTTCTTTTGGTCGAAAAACAATTTCCTCATGGCAAACAATATTCAGGAAACAATTCATGAAAAATCATCAAAATTTCAGTTTCGTTCCGCAGACAATCTTGGCCCCAGTTGGGTTAAATGTGGGTTCTTTAAGAACCGAGGACAAATATATTGGGATGTCTAAATTTTTTTTTTAAAATATTGATCCTGGAACGTTTTTTAATATTGGTCAAAGATTCATTGCTTTCTGGGACCAATATTACAAAATACAGTCAACCCAATATTTACCCAAAGTTGTAAGCCTACAACTCTAACAGCAAAATAACTTGGCTCCTTTTTGGGCCAATATTCATGAATCTTGGCTCAATAAGGGTTCAAAAGGCCTTTTCCAATATTGGCCCCATATAGAATTGTCAGATGCATCCGATATTTTATATCCATAATTTAGCCACTATAGGTTCTATGTTAAACAATGTAAGCCTAGTTCAGAACCTAGTCCAGAAGACGAGTATTGGGAGAAATTTGCTTTGTGGAGCAATTTTTGATGGAACTAACCCTCATTTGCATTACATGGAGAGGAAAAACTCCCACGTTTAATTTTATGTCATAGTTAAATTTTTATTTATTGCATCATTAGGCGAAACTACTAGCAGCAGAATCGTAAACTTTCAAAAGAGCCGAAGAAATAATTTTAGCTATATTTGGATTAATTATACAAAGTTGCAATTTCTTATATACCCTCTGCAATATCTGGATTTTTTTTGCCACTCTATCAGTAATCCTTATCAAGGGAGCAAGCGAATTGCTCAAGATTCGGGGATTGTCTCCCCACAGCGTGCTGGGGAGCTTAACCTCTGGTTTATTTTTATTTTATAACCGTCGTTGAACAGGCGACCCAGTTTTTTGGGTTTACAACTAATGATCAACTCCGTGGCTTTGACATTTTGAACCCAATCTAGAAGACAAGGAAACTCCCGGATTAAGTATTGGGAGAAATTTGCTTTCACGGAGGACTTTTTTTTATGGAACTAACCCGCATTTGCGTTACATGAAGAGGCAAACCACGAGCACCTCTCATAGTTAGCCTTACGGCAAGGGGACTCTAACCCATGATCCGTCTACCACTGAGGATATATTTACGTCGACATTGTGGTCGGTGCAAGTTGGGTGAGGGATTCGTATCGACCAACCATCGCTGGAATTCGAACCCGGTTAACTTAATTGGAAGGCGAACGCTCTATCCCCTGAGCCAACACGGCTCAGTTTAAGGATATTGATATGCTTATTACATTTCGGATATCCATGACATCACACTAATAAATAAAGAGAAGCCTTGAGATGCACTAATAAATAAAAGGGATAGAGCCTTCGCTGTCCAATTAGGTAAACCGAGTTCAAATCCCAGCAATAGCTGGTCGATGCGAAATCCACATCTGGCTTGTGCTGACGTTAAATATCCTCAGTGGTAGACGGATCATGAGTTAGAGTCCTCTTGCCTTCAGACTAAGCATGGGAGGGCTTCGTGGTTTTTCTCTCAATGTAACGCTGTGATGCTGGTTAGTTCCATCGAAAAGTCCTCCACGAGGGCAAATTTCTCCCAATCCTTGATCCAGGAGTGTCTTCTGGACTAGGTTCAAAATTACAAGGCTACGGAGTTGAGCGTTAGTATTCGTAAGTCCAAAACTGGGTCGGTTGTTCAACGGTGGTAATAGAATGACACAAGTAGCTTACGTATAAATTGTTTTACAAAAAATACGGTGCGTATAAACACATAAAATCTTACACCCTTGTCAAAAAAAATCAAATATTTTGCAGCAATCAAAATGGCGGCTAAACTTGGTTCGACGAAACCCTTGCGAGATTTAGGATCCAGACTTCATCTTCCTGGTTATCACTCTTGTTCAGAGTACAAACAGAGCCTTGACGATGAGGGTTACTTAGAGTGCTGGATCAGAATATCAGCCATAACAGCCTACCATCCAGTGGGGACATGTGCTATGGGAGATCACTCCATGTCTGTAGTAGACTCCACATTAAGGTAATATACCTCTTATAAATGAAATTTATTATGTGAAAACACAAACAACTGGCCGTAACCTCACTAGTAAACCTCCTCTTAGAAATAAGTAAAAAAGATTCCGAGTATAAGTATAGTTTGTCTAAGCTAAGAACTGCTCCCGTCACAAAGTCTGAGGCCGTCTGGTGCTATGGAAACAAGAATGGCGCATTTTAGGGAGGGTAGCTTCGCTCTAGGGCTAACACAATAGACCGAAGAAAGAGATTCCCTCTCTTTCGTTCCTAAACCACTCCAAAACAGTGACTCCGCACCTTTACTTGAAATAGTCATACCTCGTTACCATAGACACCGCCACAGGTCCAGACGAATGTTTGGGAGAGTTCTTATTTTAGACAAACTATAGGTAGGTACTTTATTTACGTCGCACTAGAGCAGCGATGGTCTGGGAAATATCCCTGAGGATGATCTGATGACATCCTCTGCAGAAGGGATGGTTCTCCTGCTTTGGTAGTTCAACGACCTGCCCTCGAAGTCGACCGCTAAACGATAGAAAAGGTGCACTCTCGTTCCCTAAGGAGGCTAATCAAAGTGGTCACCCGCCCGCTTACTGACAGCAGCTAGTGATGCTTGACTTCGTTGTTCTATTGGGACCTGAGTGAGATCGTCATAGAGAAGATCCTCCCATCTTTTTCAACTGATTTTCATGGGTCGCTTATTTGTAATTAGTTAGTTATTGTGTTTTATTGGTCGCCTCTTAAAAGTAATTTATCGAGACTATTGAGATTGCATTACAAGCACGTCCTACAGTGGACTGATCGTTGAGACACCGAAGTCAGACATCACTGATTGCGGTCTGTGTGCGGGTGGGTGACCACTTTGATCAGCTTGCAGTATCGGTGCTCGTTGAACTGTTCTACCGTAAAGTACTCGACATCGCTCGCAGGTCGTCGGGCAACCGAAGCAGAGGAAACATTTCCTCTGTAACGGATCAAAATTGCGGTGGCGTGAATTCGGATCTACCTGAGGGATGTTTCCCTGACCGTCACCAATAACCCATTGGGCAGCTCTAATAAAGTACCGACCTATCTATTCTGGGTGATGTACTTGATGAAAAGCGTTTCCAAATTAACGCTTTTCAACTGTTTTCTGTCTAGCAATCCAACAGCTTTCTCACTTATGATTTTGTTTTCCTAAATATTAACCCTTTTTGTTCATTTCCTTTTCAGGGTTCATAATGTAGAGAACCTGAGGGTAGTGGATGCTTCAGTGCTCCCTCGTCACATTTCGGGAAACCCTAACGCTGCCGTCACGATGATTGCCGAGAGAGCCATCGATTTCATCGTCCACAATTGATATTTTTTTACTCTAACTGAATTAATTCTTCTCGCATTTTAACTTTTCCTAATCATTATTTCACTAAGTTCAAATAAAATAATTTGTGATTATTTATTAGAAAAAAAAATGCATCTGAATTTAAACGTAATTAAAAGTCACTGGCCATATTATTAGACGAGCTGTAAAATTCTATGTAAAATCTTAATTATCACGTGATACTATATACAGATTTATTTTTTTTACGCTGCTGAAACCGGTTTGAACTCGTTTATGTTCGTGTATTAATTGGTTAACATTGTAATACAATAAGTTGAAAATAAATACAAATAAGAAGTGTTAAAAAAATCCCCTCTATAAAAACCCATTGCATGCATGTGTAAATATAAAAGTATTGCATAGAAACTCGTGCAAAAGCATGCAATTATTAAAGCACTACAGTGCGTCTAATAATTTGGTCTAATTATTATCATATACTAGTATAATACCTGATATAATAAATATTCTATGTTTATATAATATATCGTCTAATTTACATTATATATTGTCTAATTTAACCAATTGATACACGAACATAAGCAGGTGCAAACCGGTTTCAGTCGCATAAATACGATAAAGCTGTATGGTATCACCTGATATTATAGAATTTACATAGAATCTTATAGTGCGTCTAACAAATTGGCAAGGCACTGTATAATTCGAATTTTTTAAACTGATTTCTGTATCATAAATGTGTTCATTTGGTGCGATCTCCCAATTAAGTTGACAAGAAACGACTCTTGCTATTATGTAATGATTTTTTGTATGCATTAAAATTTTTTTAATGTGTTTCTGTATCCATTTCTATTCATAATCAGGTTGTGTTTCACTAATACACTCTACAAACATTCATTCAAAGTGATTTTTAAAGAGGAAAAACATGTAGTGCAGCATTTAAAGAGTGTAATGCAAAGGTTCATTTTATTATTTTTTTCTTCATCCTGTTCAAATTTTCAATGGTTCATAAAGTACTTTTCATTCATCCATTCAAGATCAAATACATTTTTTTAAACTTCTAGTGGATGACATTTGATGTTCAGACAGTTTTCTTTAAAATATTAATTCATTCATTAAATGTAATTAATCAATTTTAGATTTATATGGGTGAAAAAGTTGCAATTATTTAATAAAAATTAACTGTCAAGTAACTGTATTTAATAAAAGTAAGTTTGTTGGTCAAAGTAGGAATTTGAAAAAAATTATCTTACTTGTTTGACAGTTACAAAGAAAGTTTGTTTTTCCTAGCTAAAACCCTGATTTTTAAAAAATAACTTTTTTTATTTTTTAAAAAAGCTAGTTCTTTGTTGGAAAATTATTGAAATCTTAAATTATCTTTGTATATTCTATGTTCTAATATGCAAATACTTTATCAAACAAAAATTTTAAGTTAAAACATTTTTTTTACTGATGATGTTGAGACCTGTAAGATGTTCTATTGCAGGGGTGGCGAACCTTTATACACCAACGTGCCATTTTTTCCAAAAAATTGTTTAATGAGGTCATAGACGTGCCGTCAAATAATTTTGCCTTCGTGATTATTGGGAAAATAATAATACTAAATACTATCAACTCAAAACTCTTTAATTACATTGAGAAAAAAAATATTTTGCAATGTCTCAGTTATACGCGTAATTCAACTTAAAGTAACATCAGTGTGACTTCTGTTGTTGCAGATTAGATGACAAATAACTTATATTAGGTTGTAAGATGTTAGTTTAAGCAGGACGGTTTTTTTTTTGTTAGTTATTTATTGTTAGCTTGTTTTTTATGGTTATTAATTGTCTTTTTAGCATTAATTGTAAATTTTTATCATTAATAATTGTTTATTATTTTGCGTGTTTTTTGTGAATTTTAATTTAATTGTTACATATGCTTCATAGTGTAATAACAAATGTGATCGGTGGCGTGCCCAAAATATTTTGTCGGGTGCCATAAATGGCACGCGTGCCATTGGTTCGCCATCCCTGTTCTATTGTATTTTCACTGCATTCTTTCCCACTGTGTTCATTAAAGATGAAGGAAGAAAGATGATGAAAAGAGGGATCTTTAAAGTGGAACGGAATCGTGAAAGAAATTTTTACATTAAAAGAAATGTCAACATCAAATTTAATATGTGATATTGAAAAAGAAATGAAGGGATAAAAATTGTTTCAATAAAATGTTATTTGTGAAAGGTTGCTTAAAAATCTGGAATAATTCAGAACAGCATTGCGTAAAACACAGATAATCATTAACCACTTCCTTTGCCAGTTATTTAGAAAAAACAATGCAAAAAATTTATATATTCTTTTTAATTTCATGAATAAATACAAGGAAATAAAATAAAACATAATACACAAGTTTTAAGTTGAAATTTGAATTTTTTAATGTGTGAGAAATCTTTAATTTGAAATCAGTATACTATCCCGAGTTATTTCGGGCAAATGAAAAAAGTTTAATATTAGTCTTATACATATTAGCATTTTCGGGATTTTTATTAATTTGCATTATTTTCCTTCTTCTTTTTTCGGAATTTTTTTTCCTGATTTTTTTATTATTATTTTTATTATNATTTTATTTATTTACTTTATTATTAAATCATCCACTTTTCATTTCTGTATACACTACCGGTCAAAAGTTTGCGAGAATTTTGAAATCTGCAAAGAAAAGGTCTAAATTCAAATGTTCATAGAACTGCGAAAAATCATTCAAATGGCATGAAAATTTGATATGTTCTAAAGTGAACCCTCTACTGTTAGTTACATATGATCAAATTGCAATACTTTGTTTTTGCGAACTGAATCCAGCTTTTCATCACGGATTGTTTTTATGGTGAAAAAAGTTGCTAAGTTTGAACACTTGCCAAACTTGCAAAACATATTTTTTGTACTTTCTGTTAATAGAAAATAGTTATTTGAACAGTTCTATGTATGCCCTCAAAATTTCAAATCGATTCGAATGAAGTTATAGAATTTTGAAAAACGTGAGTACTTTTCTCGATTTCGAAGTTTTATTTACTGCGCATAAGCTTCAAGTACATAGAACTCATAAAATAAGTAAAAAAAAAAAAAAATAGAGAAAACAAGGAAAAAGGTATAAAGATTTTTTTAAGGAAAAACAAATCATTAAAAAAATTTTTTGAAAAAAATATTTTCAAATTTAAAAATTGTAAAATTAAAAAAAATATATTATTTATAAATTTTAAAGTTATAAAATTTAAAAGAAAATAGGGAAGTAAAATGAAATAACGAAAAGATATAATTTCTTCATCAGCTCACACGATCATAACCGAAAAAACAGTGCTTTCTAATATTGTACTAGTACAGCCAAAGCAAAAAATTTAAAATAAAAATAAATAATGCAACATTAAACAATCAAGCAAAAATAAGAAAGATTCAAGAAAAACAAAACTCAAATTGTAATATATAAAGCGAGTAGCGAATTCAAATAATACACACACACACACTCTCTCTTTCCAACCTATGGTTCCTCCGGGATGTTTCCTAGACCGTCGCCAATAGCCCATTGTGCAGCTCTAGTGCGACGTAAATTAACAACAACAACAATCCAACCTATGGTTATAGAAATCTCAATTTTACTTTTATTGGTCGAATTTTTCTATCGTATTAGCCACTTCCCTTACCAAGGCCGGGATAGCCTGGTCGGTAGGGAGCTGGACCTATGTTCGTGGGTTGGAACCCCGCCGGCCAAAGACTCCTCGTGTAGTAAAGTGACTGATGCACGTTAAATCTGTCAAGTCTCAAAAGTCCTCCTTGTGCCCATAACAAATCAAAACCTTCGGGGGTACTGGATTGGAGATCGATCGTTCTCTTATTCAGGTCAAAATTACGATCTGTGGATGAATGAAATGGTCCGCCCTATAAATGGGTATGCCGTATGGTGTGGCCGAAGTCGAATTCTTGGCCATAGATGGCGCCACTGGAAAACAAGAACAATCGCACCCCGTCTGCCTAAGCAGGCATACGTCAACAACAACAACTTTCCTTACCAATTATTTTGAAGAAAAAAATCAACATATTTTTTTATTTTTTTAATAAATAGAAGGAACTAAAACAGAACATAATGCACAAGTTCTAAGTTGAGATTTGATTTTTTTTATGCATAAGAAGCATTTAATTTAAATTCAGTTTACTATCCCGGGTTATCTAGGGCAAATGATAAAATTTAAATATTAGTCTTCGTAGGATAGTTCTTAAAACAAGGGACGAGGTAAAATGATTCTTTTCAAACGTCAGTGAAGGAATACGGCATTTTTTTTTTACTCTTATTGCTATGTAAATTCAGCAACCATCGTATATACAATTGCAGAAAACACGTGTGCAGTCCAACATCAAAACTTCCAAATAAAACTTGGCAAACTTTCAATCACAGCAGATTATGTTTTTGCTTCCGAGTGAGTAAAATTGTGATGAAACAAAATGTATTGACAAATTCTGCTAAGCCCGAGTTTTCTCGGGATGATAAGTATCTGCAATATACCCGAGTTAACTCGGGATATTCAGGGAAGCGGTTAAGACACGGTTTTGTTAAACACTGCTTTTGATCTGGAATTTGTTATGACGTCGTTTGAATTTTCAGAAACACTTACAGTGGGTGAATCCTTTTCTGTTGCTTTTGCAAACAAAACCTGCCTGGATGAAATCACACTGTTTTTTTTACAGTAGAATCTTACAGTGCGTCTAATAATTTCGCCAGGGACTGTAATCAGTAATTTTCGTTAATTACAAAAATCTGGAGTGAATATAGAAAAGAATAATAATAATAGTAACTGGAAAATAGAAAAGATAAGACAAAAAAACTGTTTTATTTGGTCAAAGTATGGTGGATTGTGTTTGTTATGGTGGAGTGTGTCCCCAAAAAAACTCTGATGTTCTTCATAATTTTTTCAGTCGACTTACAGCGTGTAATCTCTATAATCACATTATTTTGTAATCTCAGTCTTTCACCGAAGCAGTTTTGTAGAATTGTTAGTTAATGGGATTCCAATATTTTATTTATGAGTCACTCTAAAGGGAATCTTCAATTAATTTTAATGAAAATCCGCCCCTTTCCTTAATTACAAAACTGTTTACATTTAGGCTTTACTGCTTAATCCTTCCTTTCTAAATTCTTACTCCTTAATTCTTCGTTTTTACGATTAGAAATCCAAATCCGTTCAAAACAGGTATCTTTATTCAGATATAAAGTATGTTTTGGGGTCTGATTTCTGAATTTAAAATATCGTCTCCACTAATTATTTAGCAAAGGTCACCTCCTCGAACCAATAACATTGAGTCCAGTACGTAAAAATCAAATCATTAGTTCACAAGTTATTCAGAGTGAGTTGTGTTTTGTCGCGCACTGTACACTCCTCAGAAATCCCACAAAAACTGTACATGAGGATGGAAATTTTAACTTCCTTAAGTGAAATTTCCTTCCTTGAAATTTTGTATTTTAGGTGTACGATTTTTTTATAAAACTATTCCTTATTTAAATGAAAAACATTTTTTATCATTAACTTGATTATTTTAATTTATTAAGTGGCACTATATCAGTGTGAAAAACTGCACTAAAAATCGTTATCATGGTTATCGTATTCATGGTCTGGTTTAGCTGAACAAATAATTCTGCAAATCTCTAAATTTATATANAATATATATATATATATATATTCTGTCCACACAAAAGTATACTCTAATCTTCATTTCAAAAAGTAAGCACATAATTAATGTATTTCTAACTATCGTCGAATCTGCAACCGAGAGTTATATTTTTATCACCATAGTTTTGATACTGTTTATTCAAAAATA